ATATTGGTTAATTCGTGTTTAAGTTAATGAAACTTTCATACATTCTTAAGTTAACGAGTCAGAGAGAGGGGCCGAGCAGGCAGGTCAGCTGTTAGTCCACTCAGCAACCAGGCCCATCCACCAAACAATCCTCAGAAGGGAGCTTGCTGGGCGCCCTTGACTGAGGATCATCCCTCTCGCCCTGAGGGGTGGAGAGGAGGCGGCAGTGCCCTGGTCTAGGATTCAGTGGCTGCACTATCCTGGCTGTCCTTTCCCTGGTTCCATCAGGAGTGGCTCTGACTGTGGACCCCACAACAGCACACGTCGCAGGTCCCACTGAAGGGAAGCTCCTTAGTCCACCCGGGCCTCCCTTTCTACAGACAGGCCAGAATCCCTCCTAGGTCAGCTCTGCAGTCAGCTGGAAGGAGCATCAGGGATGTCAACACCCGCCCCTCAGGTCCTGCCCTCCTACCCTCAGCCCTCCCCTCCCTCACCACAGGGCCATCTCCGGGAACAATCTAAAGGCTCCCTCCTCAATCTGCTCCCCACACGGTTCCCTGGTGGAGTCCACATCCTCCACTCCTTTGATATCTCCAACCTTGCCCCCTTCCTCTCCTTCCAGACTTTATGTTCACCTACACACGTGCCATTTCCATTTGGTGACACGTCCATCTGCATCCATCTCAAGAACATCACGTCCAAATACACTCATGATCTTCCCCTGGGAACCTGCTCTTTGCACTGACTTCCCCGTCTCCGTATTTTTTCAGAAGTTCAGGCAAAGAAAACTTGGGAATGTGGGGAACGGGGAGGGGGTGGTGTACAGCTAAGTGGTGGAGTGCGTGCTTAGCATGCAGGAGGTCCTGGGCTCAATCTCCGGTACCTCCATTCCAAAAAAAAATTTTAAAGAAAAAAGAAAACTTGAGATGGTGGTTCACTCCCGAGTTTTGCTTACATTACATTTTATGAAGCAGGAAATCTGTCTGCTGCATCTTGAGGTTTTTCCAGATTCTCTTCACCCTTCCCCCGTCCTGCCACCACCCCGGCCGGCCCCTACAACACTCTGCTGGGGTCTATGGCGGGGGGTCTCCTCAGCGGTCTCCGTG